CCCCAAAACCCCAAAACCCCAAAACCCCAGTATTCAGAAATTTTGCTTTTTTTAAAAAAGCAGAATGAATAATAAATTTAAGTATTTGTTTGTTTTGAAAATGAATGATATAGTAATTTCAGAAGCAACGCATCTGAACTTGCATAATCCCAACAATGAGGAGTAGAAATATCAAAGGTTAAATGAATTTGAGGTCAAGTAGGCACAGATTTATAAAAACAATAAACTGCTCAGAAACCTTGATAACAATGCACCGTTCTAACCTTTATCAAACAATGAAGGATATTCAGAACATGATTAGATAAGAAGTAATAATTATTTTTGTCAGCTTTCCATAGACTCTAATTCATCAAACTACATAATCGAGAATCAATCTAATCATCCAAACAGCAACGGTTCAGATAATGCAAGTATTGAGGATGAGAAGTCAAGTCAGTTAGATATTGAAGATGATACACTCAGGCAACTAAATCACAAAAAATGTCCCAATCATTAAGAGTTAAAGCAAGTTGGCAAAAACTTATACAGATTCTTTAAGAAGAGAATAATCTAAATTTATCAAATAATGCGTGACTACCCCATATAAGGAATCGTTAAAGTCTATCAGTACTTCGTGATTGGCTAATATATATTAATCAGCGAGCAACTAATGGTAGTATTTTGTTTTAATGGTTAAAGCATTAAGCTTAACAATTTTTATAGATATTGTTTCTGCTAAGCTCAGTATTATCTTTTGTACTGGTGGCTAGCACCAAGGGGAGAGCTTAGATTTACATCTTATCTACCTGGTTATTTATGATGTTTTACTTCTTAATTCTTCATATGCTCATAAAGGACTACCTTCCAATTGTAAGTTTAATTTAATTCCCATTCTGATAGTACCTGCAAAATAGACTAGACAGACCGAATCATAATTTCTTTATCAAATTTGTTGTGCAAAGGTGCCTGAACATTCATAGAACCAGAGTCTAAGCATTGAATAGATCCTTTGACAGTCTTTCTAGATTATAACAAAGCAACAGAGTTAGCTAAGTTGACTATCTGCTGCGGCTGAATCTGCTAGTTATATAATTCATGACTCAGGAATACCCCTCCTATATGAATACAGTAATCAGATATGAGAGGCGTAGACAGCGAAATATGGCAAACGGTGTAAACTCAGAGGCAAATGAGTTGTTTTAAAATGAACAGCTAGTAAATTAAAGGATTTTCAGCAACTTGAACAATATGAACAATATAGTCAACAATTAAAGATAATAGTAGCCTCGATAGTAAGCAGATGATCCATTTGTTAATGAACTTAATGACATAATGATGGACCCCAGAGTAATAACTGATATACTCACTCGAATAAGAGGAAGCATGGAGATGAGAAATCCAATGTTCCAGTAACCTTATATGGTTAGACTTAACATCTAGAGACCTGGAAGAGTGGATAGGCCCTAGCATTATGAACGAGAGGGACTATCATCGATTGAGCTTCTGAGATTGAAATCTGAAAAATATGAAGAGATTAGGGGCAGCAGAAGTCAAGAACCAGAGAGTTGCTGCATTTGCTTAGATGATTTCAAGCAGGATTAGATTATAAGAAGGCTTTAGTGCAAGCACTCCTTTCACAAGGATTGCCTTGATTAGTGGCTTGTGAGATGTGGCTCTTGTCCTCTGTGTAAAAATAATATAGTCCAAGATGATAGTTGATGCTACTTTAATTGATTTAATTTGTCATTAAAACGAATCCAAAAGAGTTATTTATAATGATCAGATGGGGTTTTGGGGTTTTGGGGTTTTGGGGTTTTGGGG